TCACTGGGCATTCCGATCAGGTCCGCCTGTCAGATGTTCAGGTGAACCTGATCGGAAGCCCAATATTAGTCTCTGGACAACTGGATCTAAACAGACATGCGTCCATTTACATCTGGTTACCCCTGGCTCCTCCCAGAACCACCAGAAAAACAAACGGATCAGTGTTCCATTTCGACCTGACAGTACTGGATTGGAGGTAATCTGATATAAATGGACATATGTCTGTTACATCTCATGCCACGTAGACCAACATGGGTCCGGTAATTTCAGTTTTTTCCTTCATCACAAGATGGAGTAAGGAACTGGACGCACACCGATGTCACAACCATGCATGGATCCCCTGCAGATCGGAACTCTACGTGCCCGTCTGAAAAGAGCCTTAAGCTGGCCATACACCTATAGATGATCTGCAGACTTTCTATGGTCAGATGGAAAAAGTGCAACAGATTCCTCCATCTACGCTAAACTGTGTGGATGGAGGAATCTCCCACTGGGCCAAGCCTCAGTATGTTGCAAGTCAGCCCCACTGGCTCTCAAACCACCTGAACAATGCCTGCATCCAATCAGATTGTTCAGCTATTTTGACAGCATCTATTTTACCCATAAGAACAGGGGTAGGCAAACTCCGGCCTGCCAGCTGTTGTGAAACTACAGGTCCCATTATGCACCTGCCTGGGAGTCATGCCTGCGGCTGTCAGAGTCACAATTGGATTTGTAGTTGCACCACAGCTTGCCCACCCCTGACTCAGGCTGCTGCATTATAGGGGAGTCCCTACTAACTTGATAAAAACGTAAAAAGCAGATTTTGCTGCAATACTCATTTTCACTCCAGCACTGTTCTCTGCAGACTCACCACTCCTAATTCCTGCGCTGCTCCACTTCCTGTGACCCCCAGGCTGTCCTAGCGGTGCATCACCACAGCAGCCCGGGCCTCAGTACAAAACTGCAGAACATCACATGACAGACCAGAAAGGGTTGGAATTCATAAACACTGTACCAGGGAGAATCTGGAGCAGTTGTCCATGGCAACCAATCAGCTTCTCACTTTTATTTTCAGAGCTTAACTGAACAAACTGAAAAGGGAAGCTGATTGGCTGATATATGCAACTGCTCCACAATCTGTCTGCTCCGGTTTTCAAAAATTCCACCAGAAGCAGGGGTGGGCAAACTCCAACCCTCCAGCAGTTGTCAAACTACAAGTCCCATAAAGCATTGCAAGTTTCCCACAGCCAAAGGCATGGCTCCCAGAGACAAGGGCATGGGGATTTGTAGTTTTACCACAGCTGAAGGGGCAGAGTTTGCCAACCGTTGTCCTATTTTTTTTTTTTGGGGAAATGGAGATCTCCTTTAATTAGAACAGCTGTTCATAAAAAGCAGCATCACACGAAGTGCCCTTCCATTTTTTGCAGGGTGTGGGTAACCAATGTCTAACTGATGTTTATACTGCTGTTTGCTTAAGCTTTGATGACTAAGCAGTTTCATTCAGGTTACAAATAATTGTATGTTGCTTTGCTACTCGCATAATATTATGCTGATCCAGAAGTAAAGTGTCATGGCCATCTCCTGCCTAACATTATACTGCATTGAAGTTTTATTTATTGTTTCTCAGGTTTTTGTGTTTGTTTTAGGTACCCCTCAAAGAGGAACTGAACTCTGGAAACAAAAAGGCAGAAAAAGGGCAAAGTACAAGTCAGTGGTATATCCTGTGATCTCCCAGCTGCGTGCCCGCTAGGGGGCGCGCGCGAGCAGAAAAAAATTGCCGTCTGGAGACGGCAACCCGCAGATGCTGCAGTGCCGTCCGTCCGTTTTTTTACTACGGGCGGACGGCAAGAGGTTAACCATTACTGACTTACCAGGCCTTGTTCTCTCTGTCAAAAATAAGTCAAGGCAACTGGACTTGCTGTATTTTTCTTGAAGACGTTTCACTGGACATCGGATCATCTTTCTCAATTCAGAATGATTTGTACAGAAATATTTCTCTGGGAATAAATATGATGAATGTTGTGCCAATCCAGATAATCAGTTAGTTTAATGCATTTGCATAATTGGTGTTATTATCCTGCCCAGAGAGTGGTGTCCTAGCAGGCCCTAGAAAGGTCCTCCTAGTTCCAATAATGCAAATGCAATCAACACCTGGTTGTGACTAACAGATTAAGCTGGACGGATGTCCAGTCATAAGGTGGCCATACACTTTACAACCATCGCAAGAGTCTTGCGATGGTTGTAAAGTACTTAAAAAAATGTAGGGAGAGGCAGGGTTATACTTCCTCATGTCAGAGCCTCCAGCAAGGAGTACAGTGTGGAGGTAGCCATCTTGGTAGTGGCAGGGCTATGCTTCCTCATGTCAGAGCCTCCAGCAAGGAGTACAGTGTGGAGGTAGCCATCTTGGTAGTGGCAGGGCTATGCTTCCTCATGTCAGAGCCTCCAGCAAGGAGTACAGTGTGGAGGTAGCCATCTTGGTAGTGGCAGGCCTATGCTTCCTCATTTCAGAGCTTCCATCAGGGAAAGCAGTGAGCAGCACAGCATTGCTAAACCAGATCTCACTTCAAATCTCTGCGACCAGCATTCAGAGGCAGCAGTGCCTTAGATCTAACGCTGCACATATGCAGAAGTGCCTAGGCACCCTCACATACCAGGAAGTGCACTGCTTCTTTCAGGAGGAATTCAAGACAAAGGGTACATTTTTTTATGGTGCTGCATGATTAACATTTCATATAGCATATAATTGCCGGGTGTTCAGATTTAGTCCCTGGACATTCCTCTGGACTTTAGTACTGTTTGTGTACTAAGATTTGAATCCTTCCTTTTCCATGTTATGTTATAATCAGTATACATTTATTAAACTTGCTGAGTATTTTACACATATAGTCTCTGGGTTGTGTCCTGCAGTACAGCTTTGGTTGCATTTTCTCCCTGCGTTTTCTTTCATACTTCTTCATGCATTGATTGAAGGGATCAGAGTCTTCTTATGCTTTCTATCTGGTAATCTGGTACAGGTTGTCTATTCAAATAAAACGTTATCAGGCTGACTTGATCGGTCTGATTAGGATGATTAACTAGTGGCTTTAGTGGCTTGTAAGCATTTGCTTTCAGTGATGGCTTGGCAATTGATATGGAACTACAAGTCCCATCATGCATGGACATGCAGTTGTGTGTATGCTCCCAAGGAGCTCATTGTGAAATAAATGTATACCTTTGTAAAGGTGACCACATGTTACAATCTGACTGTACAATCACCTTAAAGGAGAACTATGGAGTCAGTGCTTTTCCCCATAGTTCTCCTAAGGGTAACGGGAGGATACAAACTAGCGTCCCCCGTCACCCTAAGCTCAGTATACCGCGAGCTGCAGCTCGCGGTATACTGAGACGCCGCAGGCGGAACGGATCCCGACAATGCTGTCTGGATCCACCAAGCTGCGTGAGTGACAGCTGGCTCTGCCTATCTAGAGGCAGAGCCAGCTGTACCCGCCCCCTCCCCGTCCGTTTTGCCAGTCAGCGCTGGAGGATCGGACAAGGGAGGAGGGAGGCCATTCCTGCAGGGAGCCGTGAGTGACAGTCACGGCTCTCTGCACGGATAGATAGAGAAGTGAGCGACGGTATGTGTTCGCTCACTTCCTGATCTACTGAGCCGACCTGTGACAGTTTCATTGTCACAGGTCGGCTCAGATTATGAGGCTGAGTGAAAATCACTCGCCTCATAATTCTTTAATAGTTAAGCTACTTGAATGTGTTTTAAGATTTAACTCCTGAGTTTAGTGTCACTTTAATCAATGTAAATGTTCCTCCCCTTTACCCTCATAGACATGACATAGAAGGGGAAAGCTAAATAAGTTTTATCAGTTCAGTAGAAATTCTGAAAAATCTTTTCACGGAAATATTGAAAATATTTAGAAAGTTCTACTAAGTAGGTGTTGTCCCAGTCTGGCTGCAGAAGCGGAGATGGACTTCATTAAAGTGGTGATCTTAATCTGTTATCACCGGCTGCGTGTGAGTCTAGGAGGAGGGTGTCAGGGGATCCTCAGGTACTTGTGACACAAACTAAAGCCAGAGAAGTTTGTGTCTGCTGCTTGTCACTTAGTAAATGATGCGGAAACATCGCAGGAAGATGAGGATGACCATGGTGAGACCTGCAGCTGTCACCCCCTGTCCATGACACCAGAATGTAATTATCCTCCTGTGTCCTCCTCCGGCCTCCTGGGTGGGGCACAGCCGGGCCAGACAGACGGGGAGGGGACAGGACACGGATCAGCCTCTCCTCTCCGTCACAACACCAGCAGACCTGGAACCGTGTCACTGGCCGGAGAGGAGAGATCGGGGACATGTGCGGAGGACATCACCTGTCACCGGAGGGGAACTAAGCACCGGGATTACTATATGCTGGAGGGACCCCATACCTGGATATAGGAGAGACATACAGGGACACTGCACAGGTAGGTGACACTGAGCACCGGGGATTATTATATACTGGAGGGACCCCATACCTGGATATAGGAGAGACATACAGGGACACTGCACAGGTAGGTGACACTAAGCACCGGGGATTACTATATGCTGGAGGGGACCCCATACCTGGATATAGGAGAGACATACAGGGACACTGCACAGGTAGGTGACACTAAGCACCGGGGATTACTATATGCTGGAGGGGACATCATACCTGGATATAGGAGAGACATACAGGGACACTGCACAGGTAGGTGACACTAAGCACCGGGGATTACTATACGCTGGAGGGGACCCCATACCTGGATATAGGAGAGACATACAGGGACACTGCACAGGTAGGTGACACTGAGCACCGGGGATTACTATACGCTGGAGGGGACCCCATACCTGGATATAGGAGAGACATACAGGGACACTGCACAGGTAGGTGACACTAAGCACCGGGGATTACTATATGCTGGAGGGGACATCATACCTGGATATAGGAGAGACATACAGGGACACTGCAGAGGTAGGTGACACTGCAGAGGTAGGTGACACTAAGCACCGGGGATTACTATACGCTGGAGGGGACCCCATACCTGGATATAGGAGAGACATACAGGGACACTGCACAGGTAGGTGACACTGATCATCTGGGATTATTATATGCTGGAGGGGGCCCCATACCTGAATACAGGGGGCACACTGCAAAGGTAGGGGACATAATTTAGGAAAATGATCCTCTGGATAATATATATCAGAGGGACTAAAACTGCTCTAGTCTGGAGCTCATTATGTATAGGGAGCACACTGCACAGGTATGTGACACTAGGTCACCGGAGGGGTTATTATATACTGATGGGAATATACTAATTGGAGACTCGAAGGGGCACTGCACAGGTAGGTAGCACTGAGCACAGGACTGCGTACAATGTCATTGCTGGGTGTTCAGGATTTCCAGAGACATTCCCAGGTTTTGATGTTTAATGTAACTGCTTATGTACTAAGATTATATCCTTTTCCATGTTATGTTACAATCTTGTGTAGTTTTTTGTTGCAATAATATACAGTATATAAACTTGCTGAGTATTTTACACATATAGTCTCTGGGTTGTGTCCTGCAGTACAGCTTTGGTTGCATTTTCTCCCTGCGTTTTCTTTCATACTTCTTCATGCATTGATTGAAGGGATCAGAGTCTTCTTATGCTCTCTAGGTAATCAGGCTGGCTTGATCGGTCTGATTAGGATGATAAACTAGTTTATTTAGTGGCTTGTAAGAATTTGCTTTCAGTGATGGCTTGGCCATTGATATGGAACTACAAGTCCCATCATGCATGGACGTGCAGTTGTGTTTATGCTCCCAAGGAGCTCATTGTGAAATAAATGTATACCTTTGTAAAGGTCACCACATGTTACAATCTGACTGTACAATCACCTTTAGGGTCCCCACACACCTTCCAATTATCGTACGATAACCGCGGGAAATCCAGCAATCGTACGATGTTCGTAAGGTGTGTGGAAGCCGTGCGACCTCTACTAATGTAAGGTCGCACGACTTTAAACTTACGGACATGTTTGAAAACCCGCCGAGCATCGTACGATGTTCGGCGGGTTTGTGGCATGTCCGTACGATAACAGCCGCACGGGCCGGTGTGCGCAAGCGCACACTGCCCGTCCGGCTTTGCGGTGATCGAAAGCCCGCCCCTCAGGGGGCGTGGCTTGCGATCATCGCAAGTACGATCTGCCTATGCAACATAGGCAGATCGTAAGTTTTTTTAAGTACCTTACAACCATCGCAAGACAGAAGTCTTGCGATGGTTGTAAGATGTGTGCCCAGCCTTAGACTTACCAAAACTATGTGAAATGAGGACCTATCCATTCAATCAAGTTGAATCCAATCAGGCAGGCCCTTGCACTACATAGTTGTTGGTAGATCTAAAGGAGATTGTACAATCAGATTGTAACGTGTGTGGTTAACTTTAGTGTGATGTTGTAGGAACATGGCATGCCAGGTCTCACAGTTCTCCAGCTGCCATGATTATTGCAGCACAAAATCAATGTATAAAATCCTTCCTGCCGGCCGTTCTATCCCTGCACAGGCCGTGAACTGCGACACCAGACTAGTGGAGAATTGGTTGTAACTTTCCCTCACTTGGAGGTCGTCACGTGTCATGTGTGTGTGCTCAGCACGAGATATTAAATTATGAAGCCAATATGTTGAACGTATTTGTGTTGTGTAAAAGACATCAGGCACTGTAATATCTTGCTTTACATTAAAACATTCCTGTGCCAAGAAAATGTGTAGACTGCCATTGCTGAAATTCTACTGTTAGCTGCCGGTCTGTCACCTTGATCCTGTGACTTCAGTACTTCTCATCCACTGACCTGTAAGCATGCACATCAGGAGTTCTGACTTCATTCATTGGGCCAATAATCCAGAAAGTATTGAAGCAGTAGGATCAGCATGGCAGCCGGGCAGCTGGCATTTTCAGTAGGAGGTCAGTGAACGCAGCCCAGGTATTTTTGTAACAACACGTTTCTTTCTGTATGATTGTTTTTCTTAAGCTCTCCCTGACACAATGACACTTTCTTATATGTGATTTATCTATATGGAATACATTATATTAGAAGAGAGTATAGTAAACAATTTCTTCTTGGCTTTAGATATAATCAGTCTTTTTTAATCCCATTATTCAAAAACTCTTTTTTTCTGTCATTCTTCCTGAAGGGGAGACGTGTTTTATGGTTGCTGCGTCTTATTATAACAGGCACGCCAATGTAACTGGAAATATGAATATAGTCACAATATTCAGGCTGTTGAATTAATCAAATATATAACTGCTATAAAGGCTTTTTATACATGGAAAGATTTGGGTGTATCTTCGTGCTTTCAGTTTCACTGCGTTCATTGGTCACCAAATAGACAATAGCTGACCAACGCTAATTGGTGGGCCTCACCATCCTTACATATGGATGATAGGACAGACTCTTGGGGAGGAATATAGGACATCTTGTGCATGGGAGATCCCTCATTCTGTTGTTTAGCATGCCTTTGTATCTATACTTGGAGTTTTACCAGAGCCATCCTTCCGTGATATGGTGTCCTGTATCCTTTAGGCCCCATTCACACTGAGCGGCATGAAAATCGCACGATTTTCGGCGCAATTTTACATGTGCGATATTGCGCGACTTGTCGCGCGACTTTTCGCACGACTTTTTCCGATTGGGCTGTATGCAATCAGGAGCAAAATCGCTCGAAATCCGCAGAAAAAAGGGTCATGCAGGAGCGACAAGCTACAGCGACGAGCTACAGGCGATATTGAGCTGTGAGATGTGAACAGCTCCATTGAAAGTCATCTCAGGTGCCAGATTTGATTTAGGGACCATTCATTCTAGCTCGTCCTCTAAAGTGTGCATTGTATCGTTCACTGGCGGGGCAGTCACTGTTTACATTTAAAAAAACAACTTTGTGTGCACTTCATTCAGGTCCCTGCACAGCAACGTGGTGTGATGTGCTGCCATGCGGCAACCTGCAGTGGCATAAAGTGTTCTGTGATAAAATGCACAGAACAAAAAAAAAAAATGCGTTCGCATTTTATCGCAGCGCACTGCGGTATAGTGTGAATGGGACACATAGAAAACAATCTATGTGTCCTTGCGGTGACCTGTGCTGATCTGGTTCTGCATAACCAAGGTCACCGGTAGATGTGAGAATGGGCCTTAAGGTGACCATACACTGTGCAAAAGTCGCACAGTGGGTGCTGCTGTCGGCACCCTTTCGGCCGGCATCCCTTGATCAGCTGATAGAAGGAGCTGGTTGGAAAATCTTCAAACAAACAAGGGCCGGTGGCCGCTGACAGAATACAAGAGGAACAGCAGGGACTCCTTGATCAACGCACTTGTAGTGTTAAGGGAGGAATCTGCTCTATTTTTTTTCATTCAGCCCGCGGGTTGAACGAGAAAAATAGAGTAGCGTATGGCCAGCCTTAAGGTGGCCATACACTTTACAACCATCGCAAGACCTTAGTCTTGCGATGGTTGTAAAGTAATTTAAAAAAACGTACGATCTGCCCATCTTGGACAGGCAGATCGTACTTGCGATCATCACAAGCCCGCCCCCCTGAGGGGCGGGCTTCCAATGACGGCAATGCTGAACAGGCAGTTGTCGCACGTCTTCGTTCACACTGCACGATTCTCGTATGATCGCGGGATTTCCCGTGATTCTCGTACGAGAATCGTGCACTGTATGGGCACCTTTAGTTACCCCGGAAAAAGCATGGCTAAGCATGCCTGCATGTGAATATTGGTGTTGAGCCTTGCCAGTGATTATTAGTTTGTAGCACATAATGATGAATGTTTATTAATTAGGTCAAATGTGAATCGTTTTTTTTAAACCTTATTTACTATGAACCTAAATAATTAGTAAAAATGTCTGATTTAGGAAAGCTTAGTGTGTGCCTGATTTTCAGGCTATGCAAGTTTATAACTGTCCTCCTTCCTTTTGTCAGTCAGTCAAAATGCTGCATACCATAAATATATTGCACTAATGTAAACAGCAGTCTCAGCACTCTACTGCGTAGCCAGTTTTACTTTATTTTACCCCAAAGCATGTTCTTTCCATTGGCATTACAATGATAACGTGATAAAGCATCCGGTTTTGACTAAAAAGGCCCTGTTATTACTGGTTAACCAATATTTACATTTTGTAGGTGAAGGCCAGAACAAACTCAGGGCTATGCCTAGGGGCCGGTTCGTTCCACATGTTCTGTGTATTTGCAAACACTGGTCATTCCTAGGGTAAACTAGGATAAAACTCGAGGTCTTTCAAGATGACAGAGATTACTGTAGAGTGAAATCAGTTGCAGGACATGTCTGAAGAGGATCAGAAATTGTATGTGTAGATAAAAGCGGGCAGCGTAGGCGTGTTCAGCTATTGCATTATACTGACCTCTGCGCTGTGCGTCACTCTGACCTCTGCGCTGTGGGTCACTATGACCTCTTCGCTGTGCGTCACACTGACCTCATCGCTGTGCGTCACTATGACCTCTGCGCTGTGCTTCACAGTGACCTCTGCGCTGTGCGTCACACTGACCTGCGCTGTGCGTCACACTAACCTCTGCACTGTGCGTCACACTGACCTCTGCACTGTGCGTCTCACTGACGCTGTGCGTCACTCTGACCTCTGCGCTGTGCGTCACTCTGACCTCTGCCCTGTGTGTTACATTACTGACCTTTGCGCTGTACGTTACATTACTGACCTCTGCGCTGTGCGTTACATTACTGACCTGGCGGAGTTAAGTCCGGGGCAGGGTAGGGGTTAGGTGGGGCAACTGGTGGCGAATAACTTTTAAGGCCTGGCTAGTAGCTCAGGACTTAAAATTTTGAGCTCTGGTATATATATTGTGATATTTGGGAAACTTAGCACAATGGTAAGCATGCAGGGATCAGTGTCAAAGCCGTTTTTCTTAAACAGAAAGTCTTTATTTCCCATATAGGCTAACAGCCACAGCAATCCAACAAATAATAGCTTGTCTTCAGCTTATCAGGAAATAAAGTTTGCTTATCTTCCGCATAACAACATATATTGGTTCACCATTCTCAGGTTGTCCCACACACTCACATTGTCCCAGTTATT